CCACCAGAGCGTAAGAATGATTGAGTACAGCTCAAGCAAAATGTCGACGACATTTTAATTGGATCATTATAACTTCGAATCTTGGTTTTTTTCTTATAATAGATGTCGTAGGAAAAAAAAACCGAAATTTCATTCGATAAAGATAACGTTGAAATTTATTCAGTTGCTAGGCTTCATTTTGATTTTGACTTTTAAAATGTCGCAAAAAATTCTTATTTCATTCGATGAATATTTATTTCGATTACTTTCATGATTAGCATATTTATATTCAACTTCGTCTTAGTTTAACTTATTTTACATAAAAAAATTCTACAAAATTCCCAAAAAATTATATCGACAGAAAAATCTCGTATTTGCAATGTTCTAAGAAAAATCATTTGGAAATAATTATTTTAGCACTTTATGGAATAAAACCAACAATATTTGATATTTATAATTTAATTATTGATGAAACAAAGTAAAATCATGGTTCACATACGCGTCATTCTCAACATTTAGTTAATCAAGCTAAACATTGCGGAACACTATTACTTGTTTTACCATGTGATTTAACAAAAAAATAGATCAGCATTGTTTCTATTGTCGATATGGTTTTACAAAAGTTTATATTAATAGCGTTACTAAGCAACTATGAGTGGTAGAGGCAGTTCCATTCGAAGTAGTGTAAGTGATGACAACTGTGAGTTTTTTTTCTTTTTCCTGGTGTTAGGACAAAGCCTATCGATAACAGGGCAACAATCGACTTGGTACATTCTTGGCTACGTCCCTAATTCAAATTGTTTTTATTTAAATTATCACGCTGTTTATTGTGAGGATTTAATAACAAAACAAACTTGAGATTTAGATATTTTAAAAATATTTCGTTATTTTTGTTATAGATGAAAAGTTCACGAGATCATAATTATATACCTGTAGATACTAGTTTTGATGAACAAACAACTACACTTTCATTTAAGCCACATATAACACAACGTTTAACCGAACTTGAACATCCAAAAACTTCACTTGATCATGAAATATTTCATACATTAAGAGAATCATATGATGATCGTTCATCACCAACGGCAAGATCAGTAACATTAACGAATATCGATTATGCACTTTGGCTTGAAGCTGGTAAACATGCACATAAACCAACATATGCTAAAAGTCTTGATGGAAAACCACCAATTAATTATAATATATGGAGAAATTATCGTCATTATTATGCAGGTATAAATAGTAATAGTGCACGTCGTGTTAATGGTCAATCGCGATTAAATGAAGAAGCAGCATTTAAATATCCAATTATAATTCCAGCACCATCACAACTTGGTGAAAATCATTTAAGACAATTTTTTGAATCTAATAGAAAAGAATTTTTTCAAAATCAATCTCATTTTCGTATGGCACTTATTAAAGCTGATAATGATGAAAGAATGTTACGTTTGTTAAGTTTGAAAAGTCAGCAACGAAATCCACCTGTATCGTCAGGTAAAACAAAAACTTTAAATATTTAGCATCAAAAGGCTTCTTTTCTTTAAATATTAAAGTATGTATTATAGAATTCTAGTCATCGGAATAGACAGTAGAATCTTGCAATCAGATGCAGATTGAACTTTGAAAAATATCGGGTTCATTTTTTCTTCGATCTCTATGTAATTTTCTTTTCACGGTTGATATGAAATTTAATTTATCATAAAACTATCAGTTTATATTATCTATACATACCATAGCAATGGTTAAAATAATTTTAAAACGATTACTTAAGGCATCCCCCCCCTCCGAAAATCATATTTTTCGAAAAAAATTCAAAATTGAGTTTTTGTTGTGGGAAGATGCATTGAAGTCTCCTATTTCAGTGCATGCCTTTGGTCTTAGAAAATAAGCGATTTTTTGCTGTTCTCGGTCTTATTTTTGTAGTTGCCCAGTCTTTTTTCACGGTTTTCAGGGATTTTCTGAAGACCCTCCCCAATTTTTAGAAATTTTCTAGAAAACCAATAGCACCATCGTGTTCAGCGTATCAAGTTACCCCTGTATCCAAATTTTCAGAATAAAATATGGTCCCTGGAATGCGTTACAGAAATTTTTTGTCCAATAGCGGCACCCATTTTGATAATTGCCTCAGCCATTGAAAATCTTCTCTCTTCCTTATCTGATAACCAAAAATTCTAAAATTTTGAGCATACATGTTTCTCTCCATGTTTGATATGATGACAATGCCAGATTCCTAGAAAACCTCTAGAATTCTTTGTTCTCCATAGTAGGCTTAAAAATAATTTTCAACTTGTTTATCAATTTTCTCAAAACGGATTTTTACTCTAATGATCGACAGCAGAACAAATTTTTTTTCAATATACTTCATCCTAGAGAGCTGCGGTTTTTTTTAATCGATACATACGTATGTAGTGCTTCGGATGAGGGAAAGGGATTTTTTATTTAATCGTCTATCTGAGAGAAATCCAGAGTTTTCAAGAACCGTTGGGGTAGGATTTTGAGACTTTTTGGATTTTGGACGCCCCTAAATTGAACAAAGGAAAATTAAAAAAAATCCCTTCCCCTCAGTCCAAGTGGTAAACAGTTCTCCTTAAAGTAAAATAACCCCCGATTCAGTCCGTTGAAGTATAGTGAAAAAGACTTTCTACTGCCAGACGATCCATTTTGGGCCTTGATCTCTAGAAAACTCCTGAACGCTGGGGTTTAGAGAAGTAAAAAAAATTTCGTAACTTTACTTTTATGTGCCCAACATTTGTGGAAAGTTTCATGGAAGTCCGATGCACTGTGTTACAGTGATGTCGCCTGTATACACACATTCTCTATATCAGTATTATCCTCTATCATCTTTCGTCTCTGTTTGATCTTGTATTCGTTCTTTTCGTTCTTCTCGTTCTTCTCATGATATATGTATTCTTTTATATCGTTATAAAAAACAGTTGTTACTTTTCCTTACGAAATAAAGTAGTCCACGTACATCAAGGACATACGAATATATCTCTCTCTCCANCATCCTAGGGAGCTGCGGTTTTTTTTTAATCGATACATACGTATGTAGTGCTTCGGATGAGGGAAAGGGATTTTTTTATTTAATCGTCTATCTGAGAGAAATCCAGAGTTTTCAAGAACCGTTGGGGTAGGATTTTGAGATTTTTTGGATTTTGGACCCTCCTAAATTGAACAAAGGAAAATTAAAAAAAGTCCCTTCCCCTCAGTCCAAGTGGTAAACAGTTCTCCTTAAAATAAAATAATCCCCGATTCAGTCCGTTGAAGTATAGTGAAAAAGACTTTCTACTGCCAGAGGGTCCATTTTGGGCCTTGATCTCTAGAAAACTCCTGAACGCTGAGGTTTAGAGAAGTAAAAAAAATTTTGTAACTTTACTTTCATGTGCCCAACATTTGTGGAAAGTTTCATGGAAGTCCGATGCACTGTAACGAAAATCGATTTTGGAGGGGGGGGATGCCTTAACTTATTGTTCTTCTATAAAATACCGACAAAGCCATTTGTGCCTAAATAGATCATTGTACTTACATACTTTCAATTAACTGTAAAATTGCACGTGGCATCACCTCAAATAATACAAAGAAGTAATAATATTATTGTCCTATATATTTTTTTATTAAAATTTTCACAAATGTTAAATGATAACATTTGATGTATGAGTAATAGAATAAGTGTTGATGCTTTTGTCTTTGTAGTAGACATGTTCTGAGATAAACATAGAAAATAGCTTCCATTGCAGCATACTCTATTATAAAAATATAAGCATTAACAATTATTTCACTTTCGATTCTTATTTTAAAACATTTTTATCGATACAACACAGAAGACGATGGTTTATATTTTTGAGAACTGAGACTTTGAAAAAAAAAACTCTGCAACGTTATTATAGTTTCTTAGTTAAAATCAATGTGCGAGAGAATAGTCCGAGGTGTGATCTTTTATAGGTAACATGATTTTTTATTTAGCATCTCACTTTTTCCAAAAATTTATATTATCACCAGCTTAACATTTATGCTGATTTCAGAAAGAACAGAACACTTTTTTTTCCGTCATTTTCTCTCTTTATATTTTGTTTTGATTACGTATCTCAGAATTTTCAAATAAGATTGATTGTACCTAAAATGGTCTCTTTGTTTTTTGTTTGAAAAAGCATGTCAAGATGCAGGATATGACAGAGTCGTGTCTTTGAATTAAGCTTTGTTACCATTATATAAAAGAGTACTTTCATAATATTAGAGCACCCTTCTTTGAAGTATTGAATTTTTCATTCATTTTCTTAGCTGAAAAGTAAGAGTTTAAAAAAATGACTCTATCATGCCCTACATCTTGACATATTCTTTCAAGCAAAAAATGATTAATTATATAGAGTAAACACCCACCAATGATATTTTATCACGGCCTCCTCATTACAGGCCTAACATATCATGAATATAAAAATGTGATTCGAAAATACCTGATCCAAGATCGATTTTTGAGGAATGGGGAAGCCTTAAGTAAAAATGTTAAATTTCATAGGAAAATTGTATAATATAGCTTACTGTTGATATTTCTTTATAGATATTGCTGAACCATCTCGTTTATCAAATGTCTCATCTAATAATAAACCGACTTCGGCGTCCACACTTCATACTCGACAACCGCCACCACAAAATTCTTTAAATGTTTCACCAGAATATCATCCACGATATAAATTTGGTAGTGGCAAAAAGTTCCTTATGAAAGATAATCATCCATCAATTGAAAAATTAAAATTCGAACAAGAACTTAAAATGGCTATTAGTTTTCATCGTGAACTTAAACGAGCAAAAGAAGGCAATGAAAAAAGTCTTTATGCTCGTCATCAACCGGTTTAATATATGAAAAAAAAAAAAACAACAATGATCTTATTTTTAATCTGTAGTTGTAATGGTTTTTTATTGTTTTTTTTTCTTCTGGTTTTTGCAAACTAATATTTTTTATATTTATAAATATAAACAAATTATTTTTTTTCAGATTAATAAAAACAAGAAGACAATAAAACCAAATGGATGTTGCAACACTTTCAAATAAATTAAATGAAACAGCTGGTTATGTAGTTCGACCAAATTTTGAAGAAAAATTTCGTTCAACTAAAGTACAAGAAATTCTTTATTCTTGTATTAGTGATGTTCTTGGGGATAAAAAATTTGAACAAGAGGCATGTCCAGAATGGACGAAAGCTAGTATGTTGATTAGAAAAATAATTTTTTTTTACACACGTATTCAGATTTATTTCTAACCAGGGAAAATGTCTAACTGATTCAGACTGTTTTCGCTGATGTTTTGTGTGCATATGTGAGATTTTATTCTAAGAAAAAAGTCTAATGAGGAAAGTTCTTCTACTAATCAATCACTTACTGTTGCGAAAATACTGCAATTTTATGGTATTCTTTAGACGAATGCCGTGATAACAGAATGACCAATTTTGACATGAAACAGGCCTTAACCAGGGGCGTAGCCAGGGGGTGTGGACATGGTGCCCGGGCACACCCCTTGGTCAAGAAACATCTGGAAGGGGGGTACAGGTGAAAAATCTTTCAGAGCAACAAAAATTTATTTTGCTGCTGGTGTGCACCCTCCATAATAAGTCGGGCATCTCCCTTAGAAAATTCCTGGCTACGCCACTGGCCTTAACAAGGAATATTTCAGGTCTTTTTATTTGCTTCTAGTCTGAAATAAGAATATGAACTCTACATGTTTCTCTGAGTGACTTAAAAGCTAATTTACTATCATAGTTGTATCTTAAGCTAGAAACAGCGATAAGATGTTAAACATTCATAAAAATACTATTTTCATACATCAAAACTTGCAAACCTTTCACTAAGTTTTGAATATATCATCATTTCGAACGAAAAATACGAAAGTTGTATACACTTGGAAACGACCATATTTGTTCAAATAGTATATAAAGAGATATGACCATGTTTTTTTTCGATTTGTGCAAGATTTTTCGAAATGATTGAATTAAAAAACTTTAATCTTCAAATTTGTTTGCAGATAGATCTAATTGTTCTTACAATATCTTGAAAGTTTCCATCAAAATAAATACTTTTTTTCCGTGTTAGGACACAATTCTCTCGTGAGTTATATTGATATGATTTCTCTATTAATATGAGAGTGAAAATATTTTTATCTATCAAAGGAAATCACATTAGCTGAAATCTTCTTTGACTTTTTCTTAGACTTAGATTTTTCAAATATACCCAAAATATCAGTGAAAACAATGTCGATCTGCTGAGAATCTATTGCTGTAAACAAAGAATGATCGATTCAATTTCGATTGTTTCAAATTCGAAGAACATACTTTCAATTGATCACAAAAAAATTATTTATTCACTTGTTTTTTATTTTCGATTACTAGATACATAACTCGTTTGCCGAATATATTTTTTTCGTATTGACTATTGTCTTTTACAAAGAAAAAAAAAATTACCTTAACATGATTCTAATTTCAAACTTCGATCATTCGAATAAAACCATGACAAAATTCTGTCTGAAGTATTAAATAATATTTTTAGAGATTATAATAGAGAATCGTTCGCATTTATTGACACGTTCGAAATGTCAACTTTGTAGACTAAGCAAAAATACATCAATAGTAAAAATAAATAACATGATGAATGGCTTCATCATACGACCACATTAATAGGCGTCATGAAAAATGAGCAGAAATATTTTTTATCGAGGCATCTGTCTTCTTTTTGATCTAGTCTGACGGCTAAATAGAATTCATTTGATATTAAATTTTTCTCAGTTCTAATTTGTATTCATTCTTGAATTTTACTCTAGGTTTTATTTATAGATTCAATCGTAAATTCTTCTAAAGCCATCTGAAATATTTCTAAATAAAAACCTTAAATCAAAAACACACTAACAAATATTTATATTATTCATATATTCTCACTTTTCTAGACTTGAGAGTGAATTAAACTCAATACTTCGAATAAAATCAAATTCATATAATTTATAATGAGCAAGTAACTTAATATGATAGATTGATAAATATTTGAGTCATTGCTCATTGAACATATTCTATAGCAAATAATAATGTTTGAATTCATTGAAGAATTATTCTTGAAGAAAAAAAGAATTTTGATAATATGAAACTCTGTCTGATATATATATATATTCTTTTTCTCTATTGACAATAGTTACAATTAACATTCGTGATCGTCTTAAAGCAGCAAATATGAAATTTGATCGATACAAATTTATAGTTCAATGTGTTATTGGTGAAAATAGAGGGCAAGGTGTTAAATATGGTTGTCGATGCTTATGGGATTCAGATACAGATGGTATGGCTGAATATGTTTATTTAAATGACAGTCTTTTTTGTGCTGTAGCTGCTTTTGGAATTTTTTATTATTAATCTTTATTATTTATATTGTCAACAATTTCATTCAAATAATTGTTTGTTTAATCAAATGAATAAATAAATGAATAATATATATATATATATAGAGATATATTATACATTTAAAAAGATATGAAATCAAAATTGATAGGATTGTTTAAAAGGCTAATAAAAAAAAAAGTATACCCAATGGAATTGAGTTCATCAATGTCATTTATCACAAAAGGTTAACCGCATATAAAAAAAACAGAAAAGAAGAAAGAAAAAAAGAAGATCTACGTGCTCAATTTTTGTTAGTAGTAATTCTGTTTTGCAATCCCATATTAATAAAGTTTAGAGAAGAGACGAGAGAAAAAGAGAAGAATAATTTGTCATGAAGTTTTCTTTTTTTTTTTTTTCTTCGATTCTGTCTCATTCATTTGCACACGTATAATGAAAAGGATATCAATATCAAATAAAACCAGCAAAATTCAGAGAAACGAAAGAACACAAAAAGAACGAGAGAGAGAGAGACAGACAGAAAAAGATTGCAATACACATAAATAATGCCAATTTTTCTCTCGCTCTCTTGCATATTTATATAATCTGATAAGAACATAAGTGGTAGGTAAGAGAAGGTCTCGAGATTCGTATAGAGTAAAATGACGGATAGAATAAGAGGAAATTTAATAGGTGGAATATAGAGAAAAAAAATTGTTTATTGCAGCTGTTCGTCATTTTTAAATTACTCGTTGTCGTTGGTCTTCTCTCGGTGGGATACTTTTTCAGCTATTACTAGTTATAAAATTTAAGCACGTACCCAACTATATACATTAAAGCAATGCAGTTAATCAAAAGGAACGAATAAATCAACTACTAAATAAACCGAAAAATGGGTAAATCTACAACATAATAGAGTATCTTCGAGTTGTGTACTTTATTAAAAATACTGATTCAGGTAAAAAAAAAAACAACATATCGAATGACACTTCCACACATCATAGGCAGACGACACAGATGTCAACGACAGAAAGAAAAAACGAGAGAAAGAGAGAAAAATCAACTTCAATAAACCGTGCAAATACAAGTTTATAGTGTACACACAGCTGACTTAATTTCGGTTGAGACAATCAAAATCACCCTATCGTCATGATAATAAAACTGCATATATACATACATGCATACATACACTAAGCTCTCTCACGATGATAATAAAAATGGGCGCAATATTTTAACGATATAAACCCTCTTTGTTATGAGAAGTATAGAGCACAGAGAGAAAAGAAGTATTACGCGAACTGCCATAAAAAAATTGAAAGAGTGTTTTAGTTTGCTTTCTCTCTCTCTCTCTCTTTTCTCTCTTTTTCATACCTCTCTATAATTTTTCGTTTTGCAGTTTGATTAAGAAGAAAAACGAGAATAGAAGTCTCATTCTAACTGCATTTCTTTTTCAAATGTTTTTAGTGACAAATGCTGTTCGGACATTATATCAAGATGATAAATTCGATTAAAATGAAATGCCTATCGAATTGATAACAATCAAATTCAAATATATTGTAAGTTGAATTATATGATTACAATAAAATAATAAAATAATCTTAATGTTCGATTGCTCGTGCCAGGCAGTGACTTTGCACGAGATTAACAAAAGACTGTAAATGCATTGGTCTGGTACGAAACATCAAAACGATATCATCATTATAGTTTATTAACTTAAATGTTTCCCTTTTATTTTGTTATTTTAATATAAACGATCGATTTAAATTTTCTTTTTTTTTTAATCTTCTTTAGATCGATTTGTATACCATCTTACAGTCTTCTAAATACGCTGGCAAGGCAATTCAAATGATTTACATATTGTCTATTTGCTCATGCAACACATAAGAAAAAAAAGAACTTCTTATGTTGAGTTAATAAAATGAAAAGAATTGGCGCTAGAGTTTAAACAGGTAGTATTTGTATTTGTATACAAATCTTCTTCAAACTTCATTAAATAATTATTCACAATCGAATATTGATGATATGATATATCAAGAAATGAATTCATTATCATCAAATATTATGCAGTATGATGATATTTTCATTCGAAATAATTTTAATGAATATCAATGATCAACAATACACATTTGAAAATAGTGCTGATAGAAAATGGCATGATGATTTAATCTATTCATAATAATAATAATAAAAGTTTTAAATAAAGTTCATTTTTGTTTTGTGTATATCGAAATTAACTTTACAAGGACAGTAGAATATAATAAATATGTCTGAATTTTATGAAGATATTTGACCAGTTTTGTTCGCTTTTTCTTATCAAAAAGTAAATATTGATCGTTTCTCGTTGTAAATTTATCAACTTTCTTAGTAAAATATATATGTATGATGAATTTGCTGATCTTATCATTTAAAGCCATGACTACATAATGCTTATTGTTGTCGTTTTGTTCACTCTTTCATATCGGTAGAAAAGATGTAAAAGTATATCATTTATTGATGTAAATCATTAAAAAACAATCCAATAAACTTTCACAAAAGAACTTTAACATTTAAAATTAAGCAATTGTTAGATCATCAGAATAAAGGAGTAAAATTGTTGGACAATTTTCATTATCAGATCGCCATCCATATGTATCATGAAAGAATTCTTCATTTGGTATACCATTTTCTGTAAGAGTTTTATTAAAATCAAGTTTTTTACCATTGTATAGCCATATATAGGAAAATATATGTGAATTATATTTTAAAAATTTTTTTGCAATTTGTCCAATAGTTTCTTCTTCAGCTATTTCTAATAGATATGAATGTTTAGGAAAAAAATTATGTATAAGACGAATATATCGAGAATGTTCAATAAGTCGACCGATTAATAAATCTTTTGTTTGCCAAAAAGGTGTACCAAATGTTTCGATTATTGACAAATCTTTAATTAATAAAACCGATTCATGTGTATGAGGATCGATTCGTTTACGTGGTTCATGTAATTGTTCATCGAACCATGAACTTATATCTTGGCCAGCATAATCAATCAATAGTTGATGTACTCTAGTGCCTTTAGTTTTTTTTATAAGTGATGTTATATCATAGATATAACTAAATATGCAAATCCATGCATCAGTTGAATCATTATGCTCAGCTAATTCATTGAATGTATAAAAAGGTAATAGATTTTCAACTTGTTGTTGTAGTGTATTATTCATATTAGGACGACAATGTTCAGGAATTTTCATCGTTGATTCATTCAAGAATAAAGAAGAAAATTTATGTTCTTCGCTTTCATTACTATTTGTTATTAGATTAGACATAGGCTAGAAAATCATCAAATGCGTATATTAATACATTAAACAGATTTATTTTCGACTCGGTCCCATTTGATGATTTCTCAATTCGGTCGTAATACTATCAATGACAATGATTCATGATTATATTTTATATAGACAAAAGAATAAGCTATATAGTAAAGAATAACAAGAAAAATATAAAATTTATCAACATTGATTAACATACAGGCATGTTGTATATTATATATAATGAAAAAAAAATGAAATTGTTTGTTTTTTATTTTGATAATTAAGTTTAAGTGCATTATTATTACTTGCTTTTTGCTTTTCATATTCAATATGCATGTCTTAACAATGATCACGGACATATCATTTGGTTTGTTTTTGTGGGTTCTCGCGAACCAATGATCATTCAAGAATGAATTCTTTAAATAAGATTTATCATTTCCTTTCATTTTTATGAATCAAGTCTGAACTAGAAAAAGACCGAAATGAGAGATCATCGAATGAGACTGTATCCGGGACTCCTTCACTAAAGCAAAAAGTAATTCTACCTGCTCTTTTCGAATATGTTTCAATGAATTATTGCCTAGAATATTTTTAGAAAAATTAAAAGATTTTCCATGAAAATTTTTAAATACTTTTTTTTATTAGAAATTTTTTTTCTTGTTGATCATAGACATCAATTTCCGGTAATGAAAATCGAGCTTTTCTGTTGTAGTTATCAGATATTTTATTTTGTATCCATTTATTTGATACTGAAAAATATTAAATTTTTAAAAATATTCTCACAATTATAATAATTACTCTCATCTTGATGTTCATTTATTATTTCTGAATCGAAAACTTCAGCATTATGTTGATATGGTAATGAAGATAATGGTGATTTTAATGATAAGTTTTCTTTCGGAGGCTCAACTATTGATTTTGTATGAGAAACAAACTGTTGTGTTGTACGATAATCTCGTTCGTCATCAATTATATGATAATTAACTTCTTGATGACCCATTGGTCCAGTAGCAACTGTAAACATACCATCGACACGATCGATTTCAGATTTAACATGTTCAATTTCAGAATCAATACCAATTGGTAATATTTGTTCTACCATTGTTTGTTTGTTTGTTTTGTATTTATATCAAAGCGCTTTGATATATCTATAGATATATATGTTTTGTAGAAATAACTTAACAACCGATAATCTTGTTGTTTTTATTTTTAATAAAATAACATTATTTTCTTTTATATAATCAAATGAATATTAATAAAAAAAAATTCAATTGTCTTGATGTTTTATTTCATCAAAATCTTATTGCATCTAAAACTTTTTTTCAAAAATTATTCGATAATAATATTTGTACATGTCAACAATATAATCGTAATAGCAATGCATTTCATAATGATAATGAAGAACCACAGGAACAACAAGAACAACAATTATATCCTCATATGAGAAAATTATATAATCATGATACCGATTTACTTGAATATGTATATATTATTATGTCAACAATTAAACCAACTGAATCACTTAATAAACAACAAGATGAAACTTTAGGACAACAACAGCAGCAACAACAACCACAACACCGACGTCGACAAACACGTATTTCAAAACAACGTGCGAAAGTTTTAATTACAGAATATTGTCGAGATAAATAGGAGATCATATCAAAAATTTAAACAAATAAACGAAATTATTTCTTTTTATCAAGAGGGAAGACTAAACATACATTATTGGATTTATAGAAGGATAGCCTTTGAGTTGTTTCTTTCTTGTTTTAGTAAACAATTAATCAAAACCATGCAGTTTAATATAATTTTACAAACAGTTTGGCATTTTCAATGCTTCCTAGTAAAGCACGTATATTCAAATCACATGAAGCTTTTAAGATATTTTGGGACTGCAGTGTAGAGGCTATGATAAAATGTTTAGTCCTATATCATTATGTTTTTAGGAGATATTCAACGAGTAATGGTGGAAAATAATTCAGTTAGCAAATAAGAATTCTTGGTGAGCTTTTTTCTTTTGTTTGAAAGAGTATGTCAGGATGCAGGATGGTATGACAGAGCTTTTTTGTAAAATCTTATTTTCTATGAGAATAACAGGAATGAAAAATTCAATGTCTCAAAAAACTCTCAAGAAATGGTGCTCTAATTATGCGAACACTTTTTTATATAATAATAATAACTCTGTCATGTTCTGCATCTTTATGTGTCACTTCAACCAAACAAAGTTCTTGATTACAATAAAGCTTCTTTAAGAGTTCTGAAATGCACGATCTAAAAACCATAAACTGTGAGAAAGTGAAAAATATTTTCGGATTTCGCTGGAAAAAACATTCTTCAAGCAGAAAATGACGGAAATTTCTGGAAACGACAAGGTGCTAAATGAAAAGTCATATCATTTATGAAAGATCGAACAGTGAACTATCTTCTCATGCATTCATCTGAGTTTTAAAATGCAAAAGTGTTGGATTTGTTTATTTACGTGTGAAGTATATTGTTTTCTGACTACTTTACCCTACAAAGTAAAGTTAAATACTTAGGTTTACCGGGTACAGTAAAGCTGAGCTACTTTACTTTACTCTACTGTACTTTTTCATAGTAAAATAAAGTTAAGGCGACACCCTTATTTAGGACTTTAACTTTCTATCGGATTCTCCAGGATTCTGAAGACTTCTGCAGAATCCTAAGGTATTCCGAAGAATTTCGACGGATTCTAGAATTTCAGGATTCCGCTATTCATTCCTTGTGTGATGCCCTGCGTCTTGACATGCTCATTCAAACAAAACAAAACTAAATATATACAATGATGACCCACACAAGATTCTAAGTTGCACGATTAAAAAATGTAAAGAGAAAAAAGATTTTCCACTGTTTCCAGACAAAAAACAAGCATGTTTTATACGAAGAAAATGACGAAAGAGTGTGGGCGCGGGTGTGAATCTTCTCTTTTACCTAACCCACACGCATTCACACCCACACCATCCCATGGAGAAGGTTTTAATCCTAATTGAACGCAACAAGTTCAATAATCAACTTCTTGAACATGTCATCTATTCGCGTTCTGAACTTTCATAGTCCAGCTCCATGGTCACAAAAGTCAGTCGGATATCATTAGCCAATAAGACACTCGATTACAACCTATCATACTATTTATTCGAATTCTCTGAAAAAATGGCTTCGGTTCTATGATTGCTGGTGGAGATCGTGCCTACACAGCCGTCGAACCTAATGCCTTCTCTATAGGGCTATAGCAATATGTTCTTTGCAAAATATCGAGAGAAGCATATTTTCATAACCACTTTGGCATAATTTTGTAGCTCGCGAAAAGTTCTGTCTCCCTTGAGAAAAAAAATGGCGCTTTCGCATTGAAGAACCTGGTAATTATAGGCACTGCATCATGTCATTAATGCAGACAACTGAGGGTGTGGGTGTCGGTGCGGCTTCGGCTGTGGCTATCAGACTTCTTTTCTACAGGGTGTGGGTGTGGGTGTGCGTTGTGGGCATGGCTCTTATCTTCATCCACACTCACACTCACCCCCACCCCACACCCTCAAATTTTTCGGCAGAAATATGAAAGAAAACATGAATTGTTTCTTTTCGCTAACGATACATAACTATGTTTCTTAACTAGCTTTCTTCTTCACGACTGACGGTAGTCAATACAAAAACTTATAGCATGATCTTTTTGCAAGCTTGGGAAATTCTATATACATAGTTTTCATGCTTTAGCACTCGAGCAAGTAGTATATATATTAAATGATAGTTTATCTAGATAAACAACTGCTTGTAGAAAAAACAAAATTCGCACGGTGAAATCATGGATAGAGTCAATCGGCAATTTCAAAAATAGATTTGTCTCGATCAATTTTGAATGCTGAGTCAGAATCTTAAGTGAAAATTATATCTTAAGAAAACAAATAACGCATTATCCTATGAAAAATAAATAAAATTACGTACATCAATATTGTGTCAAAAATGTGATGTTTTGGAAAAGTAAGCGCAAAAAGTGGTCTTTGGAAAGTTTAAAACGATCCAAATCTAGCACATTGTGTACAGCGGGAAATCAGAAAACTTTTCATGAAGTTTCAGTTTGCGCTAATTTTCTTTGCATATTGGTCATAGATTACGAATAAACTGAAAAAAATTGAAATTTTAAGAAAAGCAAATTTTTTTAATTGAGTAAGATCTGTTTTAATCCAGAAAGAAGCAATAAACAAGACATGTTTAGTATCAATTTGTAATGGTAGAGTAACTATGTATAACTAATAGGATATATACAATGAAAGGCAAACAATATGAAAATAGTTTGATACCACAATCAGATGACCCCCCCTCCTACAAGTGGATACTATAGTGGTCAAATTCATTCTGCAATTTTTATACGTGGTGCCAATAAAAACTTAAACCAAGTACACGAGTCCATGTAGAAAAATATGCTCTTTCACACTAGTTATGTGAAAAAACGGTTCNTGGGTGGGTGTGGGTGTGGGTGTGTGTGGGTGAGGGTGTGTGGGTGGGTGTCGATGAGTGTGGTCGGAGAAGAGATTCAACACCCACACCCACACGCACACCTACACACACCCATACACCCACACATACACCCACCCACAACCAGACCCACACGCACACCTACACACACACACACCCACACCCTCGGCTTTTAAAGATGACACAATATTTTTGTCCTTCATGTTCGAACTCTTTTGCATATAATTTTGCCACCTCAATTTCTGAGGTAGAATAGATACCTCTACCGAACTTGAAACTCTGACTTTTGCTAATTTTATAGCCTTCCTCTGCGATGCTCATTGCATTGTGCTGCCTGGTTCTATGGTATGATACTGGCCATTCTTCTTCATCATTGCCTGCCATATCCAACCAACGGTCATCTAAGCCATATTCTCCTGCAACATTAAGTGCAATTCGCTTGGAACGACATGGTTGCTCATACTGATAATTACTGCGGGTGAATTTTTCCCCTGCATCATCAATATCAGTGAAGTCAAAATCGAACTGAGGTGCTAGTAAAGAGGGATCAAGTGCAAGGAGATCGCCGAGTACAATTTTAACATTCAAGGGACTGTACCAATTAGCGAGACAATTGCAGAGGAGTTCATTGCCAGCAACCTGTTGGTTATCCTTAAGAATAACTTGACATTGAGCTTCAATAGACTCGTACCTCTTCAATCAATTTTTTCAATTCAGCAACAGTATTGTCCAGAATCACAGCAAGTTCGAATGTTTTACCTGTGGACATAATAATGGTTAGTTGTCGATAGGCTGATTTACTTATTTGTACTTGAATTACCTGTCCAACTTTCAGGCCATATGAAGAATATGTTACCTGATTTTCGATAAGTTCATTTCCAGTTACTGGGTGAAACAGTCTGAACCACTTTAGACGGATGTGTAATTGACGTTCAATATAATCGATTACTTGTTCTACAGTGTCTGATGGTCGCAGTTGGCTTGTTTTGATTTGATGAAATGTAGATGGCAATTTCAAGAACAAAAATGAACTATCTATTAAAACGGTACATTGATTGTCAACGTAAGTACTATCATCGACGTCACCAAACATTCGTGGCTTTTGAGCTTGAACAGCGTACCCGGTGTCTTCTTCAATTTTATTTTTTAATTCCAAAACCCTCATTGGTTTTTCGAAAAGATAGGGTTCTCTACAGCCATTAGGGGATTCTAAGGTTATAAGAACGGTGTTGCTCAATTTGTCGATGACATAAGCTACGAAGTCTTGCATACAACCCAGTAAAACGTCGTCATTGTTGATTTGGAATTTATTGTTCATAAATAGAAGTTATCTTTGTCTTGAAATCTTCAGTTTTTCTTCAATAAGTTTTCTGATATCACCAAATGAATGATGATCCGTGACTTGAAGGATCTCATTGGCAGGTTTGCATAGAATATTATATACTTGTTGTACAATAATGATGTCATTGTTATAGATAACATTGCTATAATTTGACACAAATGTAGAATTGTTCAATGTGCGATTTCCACATGTTAATGTTAAATTTTTATGATCTACTTCCAAGAGAAACCCAATTTGGTTCTTTAACTCTTCAACTGACCATTCCAGCTAAACAATCATATCAACATGTATCTGATTGAATGGTCTTAGTTTTACATGAACTGGTTGTAAAAGTACGAATGTATCATCGTAGATATAATCATCATTGACTAATACAACATTTTGATCATCAACTAGACACTGGTCGGCGACAAAAACACCTAAAATCTCTTGGATTTTGACTTTCAATTGAAAAACTGAACAGTCTTGATCACAATTGAGCTTTACTTTGTTTTCTAGCCAAGTTTGAATTGTGACACCTCGACTATCTCAGTGTTCATCTTGTTCAGACTGCAGATAAATTCTGGACTGTTCACGAACATTGTTTTCGAATAATGTCCGATGATCTTCCAATTGTTTGCGTGCGAAAACAATCTGTTGTTGATTAACTGGAATTCCTTCTGTATCTTGAATTTTTTCTTTTATAGATTTAATGGTTTCAGCCAGTTTTACGTGTAACTTCATCAATTTTCCTGTACCAGCTCGGACAAAGATTTGCCTTTCTATTAAAACTTGTAACCTCGATTCTTCTTGAACATTATAATACGACAATGTTCGCCCATCT